TTATGGGCTTAAGCATGACTCTAGGAATGAGAGTCTATATTCTAATGAAACAATCAAAGAGTGTGATTTTTCACAAAAATAAAGACGAACCCTATGTTTATAAAAGGTTAGTGAGAGCCTACTAATCGCGGTTATTCTAGATAAAAATTAAACAATCTATTTCTTGGCTTTAAATATTATCATGTTGTAATCCATAGATTGGGATATTTAAAATAATTTTTCCCAAGAAAGACATAGAGTGCGACTTACATTCTAAGAGTCGAGATCTATAGAGATAGATCACTTAGAATGTGAGGGGTCTCTCAAGGTAGATACATTGGCATGATACTAAAATATTTAGTTTTGAAAGAATCAAAGAAAGGACTTCTTCCAATGTTGCAAAGCTTAATGACTAATTATAAAGGATCCATAGCGAAAGCTAAGGAACCAAGGTCTCATCAACGATTCAAGTGTGTACTACATCTCTACCACTTGATTATAGAGATAAACATGCACGACGACATAAAGATATAAAAGATCCACACTAATGATAACATAGTTGACCCTTTGACTAAGCCTTTGTCATAGCTACAACATGAGACTTTTACTCGAGTGTCGGGCTTAAGGGACATAACCTGGTTGGCTCTAATGTAATTGGAAGATTATTAGTGTAGGTGCCTAAGATCCAATCTTGTTTGGATTGGTCTAATTTCTTATATTATTGCACCATTTATATTGCTTATAATGAAAGAAGTCTTTCTATTAATTCTTATCATTTCTATTTATTCATTGATTAGAATTAGATAGAAGTCTATATGATATGCATTTGCATTAGTGATTGATCAAAAGATGTGAGACAAACACTAATGCACATAAATGATATTGTTAAATATCCCAAATTGTAATATGGTAAAAAATGAATATTGACTATATGCGATTAGATGAGTGAGTATTATACTCATGCTATATGATAGCAATAGATGCTCTCACACCTATTGGCATGATGATACTAAAGCAAGCGTTTAGGTTTGTTAAAAAACATATAATTGGACTTGACTCGTTATGAGAATCCATTTTGTTTAGTCTATGAGAATCTCATACGAGATGGGTACAATTGGTACTTAGACTTGAGATCATCATGGTTGTCTCATTAGAGGATTTGTGTACGTTGACATTCGTTTTGATGGACCCGATAAAGTGTTATATGTGGACAATTTGTTAGGTACACTAAGAATGTAATAGAGGTAGGTGAATAACTAAGATATGACATGTCATTTCTTTTATGCTAAAGGAGTTATCATATTGCATTTCGATGAATGTCTACTCATGAAATCTCGTGACCACGGTAAGAGTACACCAATAGAGTATAATTGGTTTACTTTAAAAGTTAAGACATTTGGAAACCAAAGAAAACTTGTGTGATCATGATTGAATAAGACTAATAACCAAGTTTGAGATCACACTTTGATAAGTTGACATGAAGACCGAATTGTATGGTAACCATGCTCATGAAAGGTCATTACAAATTAATTAATCCTCCTAGAGAATTGAGTAGTCATGATGCCTTACTAGAGATCAATCTTGACTTATGTATCAAGAGATAAAAGAGGTGTTTTTTATTCTTGATACATTGCCGACATATTTAGGAGCGTATTAAGTCTTATGTATAAGTTTAAGCATTCATATGATTAAAGAGAAGAAAAGGTATTGAAAAAAATTTTCAATTATGAAATTTTTCTATTTTAGAAATGAATTTTCTAATTTGGAAGTTCGTTCCAAGTTTGGAATGAATAACTCGAAATAGAAATTAGTTTCCTAATTTAAGTTCAAGGGCAATTTGAAAAATTGTTTCTTAATGTAGGCCTCCTAAAATTATCTAACTTAATTTATTTAGATAGTCAAAATTAATTAATTAGGCCAAAATGATTTTAGGTCAATATGTTTAATTAAAAGCCTAAAAGATATTTTGGTAGGAGGATAAACATGAACCTTATTGGATAAGGATGGATGTTTTATAGATAAAGATCAAAAGCTCACATGTTAAATAACTTCTAATCCTTGGAGAATTAGAAAGCAACAACCAAGAGTCCAATAAGGACAAGTTGCCACCCTCTCCTTATCCTAGGAGGACAAGGAAACTCTCCTTTTATAAATAGGAGGAGAGGTGAGGCAAAAGGTGAGTTTTTTGGAGAGAGAAAATGTGACACATATAGAATAATAAGGACACATGGCTGAAAACAAAAGCTTGAAAAAAATTATTTTCTCCCTAACCCTAAGCACGTCACCTTTCTTCTCTCTCTCTTTGGCTTGTTACGAAATTACCCCGATTAGATTTGTATAGGAAACACTAAACAAGTCGGAAAAGGTGGAGCTAGCACTCTACTAATTTTAAATGCTTCTTTTGTAGGTGCTTAGACTATTTGGATTATCGATAGAGGCCGAACACTTGAACGACTCTTTTCTACAAAGGTTTATATCCGGTTATTCATTCCCAAAAAGCTCGAGTTGTTATATCTCTCCTTAAAAGCTTGAGTTGTCGTAAAAACCCTAACCGATTTCCTTAGAAAGCAAATCAACTATACGAAGGATTGGAGTTATCACTCTATTATTTCGTGGCTTCCTTTATGAGTGTTTAAGCTACATGTATTATCGATAGAGGTTGAATACTTGGACGATTTCTTTCTACAAAGGCTAAATCTATGCTACAAGAGGTAAATCTTTTACTCACATTTTTAATTCATATATGTATGATTAGTTGATTCAACGCTTTGATCTTGAGAACCTTAAATGAAGAATTTTTTTATTCCGCACTTCCATATGATGCACTATCCTTCAAATACTATATCGATTTTAGAGTCTATAACGATACATATAGTATTAACGTTTACATAGTAAAGGGGATGATTAACTTAAATGGAGTTGAGGGAGTAGTTTTTTACATGTTCTAGATATTTAGTTTACAGGAATTTTTTTTGATTTTTTACGGGGGTTTAGGCTTCCTTATCCTCCCAAATGTTGGGTTAGGCTAATTTGTCTCCTCTTATATCATTCCACATTTTTTTTGAATTAATACATTTTTTCAAGATACTGTCCCTGTTTTCCAAAAAAAAAAAAAAAAAAAAAACCTTATATGGAGTTGAGGGCATGTCGGTCCTTTTCTTTGTATATAATAACTTTTAATAACATTTATTTACAAGTTGGAGATCCCATTAGGAAAATGTCCTTGATAATCGATGTATGTGCAATTATATAATTTGATGATAACCTAAAAAACATCCTGTAAGACCACGCTCTCATTAAATGCACATCTTTTCTATCTAATCAAGTGGGAGAGAAAATTTCGTCCGAGTTGCTTGTTCGTACAATACATTCGGAGTTTAACTGATTGTGGAGTCCTTAGTGTGCAGTATTCTTGTTTATGATCGTGTTGAAGGCAGAATGGCTCTGAAGCGATTAAAAAAAAAAAAAGAAAACCCATAAATATAAGAAGTCTTGTTTTTATGAGTTTAAGAGACACATGATACAAGATGAATTTATACAAGTATATCAGTTACTTTGGCACTAGAACTCGCATATGCTGAAATCATGCCTACTTTCTCTTAGTTTACTAATATTCCATCCGAGAAGTCGCTCAATTCCGTGTTGGATAGTTCATTTATCGCTGCTCAAAGGCTTATTAATTCGTCGATCTATATTTGAATATTGAACTGTTTATGTCGAAGAACTGGTCATATTCTTTAAAGAAAATAATACTTTACTATTGATTGGTTCTCACCGGCATTATCATCATACAATATATATATATATAAAATTATGTGGCGAGGGTTGCGGAGGAACAACCACCTTGATTTGATTATATATGCTGAAGAGGTGTCTCGACTTAAGCTTAAGGTAATATTAAAGACGACGATAATTTGAATGATTCAAGTAGTGCATGAAATCACAGAAAGATGAATTGCTCTTTTTTATTTTTTATGTTAAATGACGATTGCCGACACCTATATAATGTTGCCAACGTAAGATGCTCCTTTTTTCAAATAAAATATAAAGATCGTTGATGATAATGTACTTTGATTAAAAAAAAAAATGGTTAATTTTTTTTTAAATTATTTTAATCTACAATTAAATTCTTTTGATCTATTGATTAATTTAAAAGGATATGTCTTCTTAAAAATACACTCAGAAGCATGTGAACCATTAAACAATTAATAATACTTGTCTTGAAAGTTATAAAATATAAAACATATGTTCTAAAAAATTTTAATTATGGACAAAAAAATTGAAATTCAAATCAAAATAAAGAAAGATTATGATTTTTTTTTTATTGATCAAAAGTTTAAATAGTTTATAATCAATTAACCAAAATAAAATAAGACAATATTGTACGTTCAAATATACATAACAAAGTACAAGTACGAGACTTATTACACATGAGCAAAAGTTCAAAATTAATTCCATAGTTTGTCAAATAAAATGATGGTAAATTAGATCTTAAGCTTCACGCATAGATTAGGTATAAATTTTCTTATGCTCTTTTTCTGAGAAATGTAGCCAGAGTATTTCTTAAAGGTTAGATTATGAGATATATCCATCCATTGACCGTATGAAAGTTTAGAAGTTTAACGTTCTTTCTGCGAAAGAGAGCAAAAGGACAGCCCACGCCCAGTGGGTTTACTTTATTTTTATTTTTCTCTTTTTATTTTCTTTTTTTCAAATTTGTGTTCAAGGACTTATAAGAAACAATTTTTCGTTTTTTTTTCTCTTTTAAGCGAAAAAATTAAAATAAAAACAGGAAGTCTTCTAATCTATTGTTTCTTCGGATGTATATATAAACCATAAAAAAGTCTCTAATTCAACATTTTGGCCGGGTCTTTTAGTAGAAAGCACTTTTCACCCCTGGAAATAGTCAACATTAGTTTGGTTTCTTTTGAAGTAAACAACTGATATACAGTTTTTTGTAAACAAAAAGAAAGACATTCTTTTGCCGTCCAGTTTACTCTGAAAACTGAAATGAAGCTGTAATGGAGGACAAGAAAGCAAATATAATCGCTATTTCAACTATCATTGTACTGACCATCTGTATCATAATTGCCCGTGTTTTTCTAAAACTTTCAAGACCTTTCTTCCTAATTGCAGGGGCAAATAGTGCAGTGATCCTTGTAGTCTTTTCATACCTGATAATCAGAAGACGATGCAAACGTAGAAGACAGTTGTTAGAGAGTCAATTAGTTTCTCAAGGTAGCGAGCTTCGAATTGAGTACAGTTTTCTTAGAAAAGTTTCTGGGGTTCCTACCATTTTTCAATACAGGGAGCTTGAGGAAGCTACCGAAAATTTTCAGGCATTGCTTGGCCAAGGATCGTCAGCTTCAGTTTTTAAAGGTATCCTGAGTGATGGAACTTCTGTTGCTGTGAAGCGGATTGAAGGAGAGAAGCATGGAGAGAAAGAATTTCGATCAGAAGTTGCAGCAATTGCTAGTGTGCAACACGTACATCTCTTGCGCCTTCTTGGATATTGTATTATGGCTGGAGGGCCTCGTTTCCTCGTTTATGATTTTATCTCCAATGGATCATTGGATTGTTGGATTTTCCAAGGAAGAGGAAATCGGAACCAGCCCAGAGGGTGTTTATCATGGGGCTTAAGGTATAGAGTTGCCATTGACGTCGCCAAGGCACTTTGTTACCTTCATCATGATTGTCGCTCAAGGATCTTGCACCTTGATATCAAGCCAGAAAACATACTTCTGGATGAGAATTACGGAGCAATTGTGGCAGATTTTGGCCTTTCAAAGTTAATGGGAAGAGATGAGAGTAAAGTTTTCACAAATATTAGAGGGACTAGAGGTTACTTGGCTCCAGAATGGTTCTTGGAGCATGGAGTTTCAGAAAAATCTGATGTCTATAGTTATGGGATGGTTGTTTTGGAGATGATTGGAGGCCGGAGAAATGTTTGCTTGGTGCAAAACGGCAATGACAGATCTCAAAGGAAATGGCAGTACTTTCCAAAAATTGTCTATCAGAAAATGAGAGAAGGAAAGCTTATGGAAGTGGTTGATGATAGGCTAGCTGAAAGTAGAGGTGTTGATGAGAGGGAGGTAAGGAGATTGGTATTTATAGCTTTCTGGTGCATCCAAGAGAAGGCTCGGCTTAGACCTAGCATGGGTCAAGTGGTTGAGATGCTTGAAGGCCATGTGCCTGTGGAGGAGCCCCCGATACCCAAATGATCATTGTCGATATGTTGTCCATTGATGAAGAGTCACCGGAGGGTCAAAACATTGTTCCTGTTGCTGCAATTCAAACAGAACCAGTAGACAACGCCCTGCCTACCGCATCAACTTATTCATTAGATATGTCAGTTATTTCCGCACGATAGCTCGTAGAGGACCTAGACTACCTTTTACTAACGTGTTGCTTCCCCATTAAGCTTCGATCTTACATGTTTAAGTTATCTTCTTCTTTTGGATTACAGTTTAACTCTTCGGCTAATACATCTATGAATATAACTATACCTGAAGCATATATATATATATATTTGATTTTTGTCTAGACATTAATGCCAGTTGAGCTACAGTTTATTTGCTGAAGAAAAAAAAAAAAATCAACTTTAGATACTTCGACAAACCTCAAAAAACTTTCCAGCCTATAGAGGTGTTAAAACCAACTAATTGAAGCTCAATAATAATTCAGTCTCAAGTCTTTAACCAAAAGCCCAAATATCTAATTTTGAACCCAACTAATTGGAAGCACTCGACCAGGATTTAACGACAAATTAGCACACAAAAGACACGATCAGGACAATGACAAAAACTATGGAGCATTGCAGTACAGGGTGAGAAGTTACTAAGGAATTAGGAGGATGGCAGAGGTGCATGGCAAAGTATAGAACGTTGTCAACTAAAGAGATAATGGGAAGTAAGATATCTATAAATCAAAGCTGCAACCAGAGGGACAACACACAATACAACATGCAAACAAACTCAACTTGCAATTTGTAAACAACTTCGAAGGCATTATCCCAAGTATCAAGACGCTTGAAACTTATTAGGCAATATCTTTTACACACTAATCAAGTAGGCTATAATTCATAGGTTATAATCAAGCAGGATAATAGATGTGTAAGATAATAGATTCCTTTCTGGTTCTCATCCTACATTCATCTTTGATGATCATGATTTTTTGAGAGCTAAATCCTAGAAGAATTGGCATGTCCAGAGTATCTATTTACAAACACCCTTCGTCATTGGCAAATATGATTTCTTGCTAAGACTTGTTAGATTGTTAAGTTTGCAACTTTATTTTTGTTGTACATAAGTTGTTTAATCTTGTGATTTCAGTTTGAACTGAATTTGTTAATTTGATTACAAATTAACTTAATAGATTTGAACTGTTCATTTGAAGTAACCGTTGTTGTGAATAACCATTCTTGCGAACCTGCAACCTTGTTTTCCTGAGTAGATTGTAGACCTCACCTAAGGTTTTCAAATTGATTTTAAGTTGTTTGATTGAGTAATTTTATTCAAAAAAAAACAAAAAAAAAAAAACAAAAAAAAACAAAAACGTCCTCAGGAGTTGGAGTTGTAGTACTACATATAGGATCATTAATCAAGTGCCTTTATATTCAAGTATAAAAATTAGACCGATTTGCATGCCACCATCCAACCATCTTTTCTTTCTTTTGTCAAAGTCCTTTTGATTGCGGCAGGAATAAAAAAACCTTGTGAAATAGATTGACGATCATAATGGAAGTGCTAATTTAAATGGCACCAAAAAAATAAAAAAATCAACAAAAATTCCATCAATATGGGATGACGATGATGCATATCATCTACCTACGATAATAGCAGCTGTGCAAGAAAAGGGACTAAAATTAACAAGAGAAGAAGTTATAGTTGTGGTCCCTATCTTTCTATATATATATATATATATATATATATATATAAAGACATGCCTATTCCGAAGCTAGGTTTAAGGATTGTTACAAGTTGATAGAAATAAAACACCAAGCCTTGACCGAATAAATTTCGGATAATTGAAAATCATTACAATGAATTATGTTAGCTGTCACTAAAACCACTCATACTTTAATAGAATCTAACATCAAAAAATGAGAAAATACAATCAATGAGATTAGGCAAGAACTTGATAAACAAGCTTTAGAAAAATAGGCCCATAGGTTTAAACGGAACCCTAATAGATGTAAACACCCATTTAGAATCAAGAATTAAAAAAGAGACAAACACTATGACTACTAAGTTTGATCACACAATGTCCGAAACTATGCATAAAATTTTCTAGCCATTGAGGTTGAAAATGAAATGGATGAAAAGCTTTCTGAAAGGGTTAGTCAAGTAGGGCATTTCAAAACAATTCCACCCAAAAAACATATAGTGATTCATAGAAAGATGTATGTGGTTTCAATGGGAGAGGTAATCCATTCTTCAACTCTAGACTTCCTCTATAAAACCCCTTAACTATAGGAGAACCTAATTGTGTTGCTTGGGAACATTTTGCATATATCTATGAATTTTTAGAGACTAGAAAACATTATTATAGACTTGTAAATGAGATACTTTAGGGGAAAATCACATAAAATGGTGGAGAGTACATGCGGATGGGCAAGGAACAAGTTTTCAACCCATAAAACCTTTACAACTCGATCCCGAATACATTTTAAAGATTGTAAAGCAAGCTTTTGGTCTAAGAATTCAATAGATTCATAAGCCTTCTTATAGCCATCTCCATCCTAACTATGTTGACAGAGAGTGTCCTTATTCTTCCACTTTCAAATTTTTAGACTTCACTCTATTAGTGTATTAAAGGTTGGCGGTTGTAATAGAACCTATTGCAAAATTTATCTATCAATGTAAAGAAGTTAGAGACTATTTTTTCTTAAAACTTAGTATGTTCTCTAATTATCCGATAGAAGAGCTTTCTTATGGTATATTAACTCACCTCCTAATTCCATCAATATAAAGAGACAAGCCGCAAACCATTTCTCAAGCCTATTTTTCAAAGATATAGGTCGAAATAAGACTTTCATACCTAGTCATATATAAATATCACATTGGTATGCTTCTTATAGAATATTTAGATAGGTTTATTTAAGTTAGGGCCAAATGTTGTGTAAAGATTCCTAAAAAAAAATTTGTTTCAACGAACTTAGTAGGGGTTGGAATTTGAACTTAGAAAGAATTTTGAAAGGATGAAATTCGGATAAGTATATGAACTAATAGTTAGAGTAACTAGGTATGAAAGTCTATTGAAGAAAAGAAAGGGAAAAGATAACCGATATTTATTGAACTTATTGTTAAGAACCAATTCTTTAGGAGATAGATATGGTTGAGTTCATTCATAGACCACCTTCTATTTGTGATGTCTTGTTAAAAGGAATGCAAAGGCCTTAAAATCATTAAGATCTAATGAGGAGAGACATTATTCTTTGATAATAATCAAGTTGACCAAAATTTTTATTGTTTAGTGGCAAATAAGAGAGTTAGATTTAGGAGAAAGTATATAGTACTAATAGAAGAAGACCAAATTTTTTATTGGTTAGTGGTGTTAGTGTATACCCTAGAAGCCAATCGTATTTTGATTGTACTAGTATACACTACATATATATATATATATATATATATATATATATATATATATATATATATATATATATATATATATATATATGCATTTCATTTATTATGTATATTTATTCTTGTATTTTATTAAATAAATATGATAAAGTCCTAAGAATATTATTATTCTTAAATATCCCCAATCAAGTTTTTTATGGATATATTAAAAGGGCAACAATAAAGTGTTGAGATTAATATGTGTATTAATTTATAATAATGTGTTATGAATATCGGATATCAAGTCAACATATGGGTACATGTTAGAGAACATATACTGGATCGACTTGTCATGAGATCACTACGTGGATCGTTATATAAGTGTCACAAAGTGGTCTTATTGTGACTATAGTGTACGTGATCCTTTGACTAGAAGTCACTATGATTCCCTACATAAAGAGTTATATATTTTGATACCATCAAACATCATCTATAACAGGATAGACAATAAAGTTAGTTGTTGGATATATAATGAATCATGTAGAGAGATGTGAGTGATGTGGATGAAATTTGTCCCTCCTATATAATAGGAGTGATGTCTATGGGTCCCTTGATCAAGTGAGATTGTGAAATGCATGAACATGCTTAAATGAATCAATATGAGATATTAATCTTATTTATGTGGAATAATCAACTCATGGATCAAGAAATGCTAAGATTGAACTATATACGGAGGACACATTCTATGCCTCATGTTTAATTTAGACATTTAGGACAAAGAGATTATACTACATAGTAACATATATCACGGACAAGGTTATGTCAAATCACCCGTATTCTTATTACTTCGGTAGTAGTGATGAATTGCTAGATCCCGGTCACTATTTATGATTTAAAATTATGATTTTAAGATCACTATCAATGTAATAAGAATCTATTGGGTCACGTATAAAGAGTGACTCGAAATTGGAGTATGACCAAAAGTTTTAAGTGGATTAGGATTTGTTAAGATTCCTAATTAGATCGGGATTCTTAGTTAGGTTAAGATTCCTTGTGAGACTAGGATACATTCTGGATTATAGTATTTAATTACACTAATAGGTCTGGTTCAATTAAGACATATGAAATAGGCTTAATGAAGTCCAAGTCCAAGGTCGTTGGATATTAATATTTCAAAATAATCAATCCACATTTTTTGTCTCATTAGGATTAGGAAATTAATTTCCTAGTGGGACTATACCTCACATATGTTTTGGTTGTTAAAGAATACAATCAACACGTAATATTTGTTTATATAAGGACATTGTGTGAGACAAAAACCCGAAGAGAGCCTTAAGAAGAAACCCTAGCTACTTTGAGAGTAAGATTGATCTAGTTTTTAAAAGCCACAACTTATAGCTAGCACTTCGACTTCAAGTGACTCTCCATTCCAAAATTGTTTAGGTGATTAAGATGTTCGTGTGGATATCGATAGAGGTATAGTTTGTTGATCTATGCTCGTGATTCGAGCATCCTTCATGCAAGAGACATGATCCGTGCTACAAGAGATAATGATTTGATCCTCCGACTTCGTTATTTTTGTGTGGATCCTATGGCATTTTGAAGTAAATTTTTATTATGATATTATTTCTGCTCCATCGATTGTTTTTTATGTTGCT